AGATTAGTATTATAGTTTCTATCATAGATAGTAGATAATCTTTTCCCTTCTTTGTTTTCTCCTTTTCTCTATCCCAGCTGTTCTCTCCTTTTGAGCAGTTTCTTTCCCTTTCACTTTCACAATAGCTATTCTTTTCTTGAAAGCAAGAATACCATGCATTTCTCAGAAGCCCTAGCCAGGAGACTTCTGCTTTCGTTCTATTAGCCAGAGCTATTGACATGGCAACTTCTACCAGCAAAGGAGCCTGTGGAAGAGTGTACATGGGGAAGATAGTAATAGGTGGGAGTTTTAGGAGCACTTTACCACTCTGCACAAAAATGTGATTCTGAGGTAAGGAAGAAGACAAGCAGATGGCAGTGTCTAGCTCATCACCTAATTATGTAGGAAACCAAATATTCCTCTTTATGCCTTCTTTCCCAGTAGGTGAATATAGATGGGAAGCCTACTGAAATTTCCTAAGAAATGCTGAGTCAGAACCAAGGTATGAGAATAGTGATAGCTGTTACTGGGTGCCTGCTGCAGGCAAGCATGTATGTGTGTGTCAGGAAACAAAGTTTAAAGGTGAAGATTCTTTGCAGAACGTTGAAATTCTCTATAAAAGTGTTACAGCACTGAAGGGTGTCAAATACCTACTCTGTCAAAGAAAGGCTATTAACCATCAAATCCACTCCCATCTCCTCGCCAGGCACACTTCTTACCCTCCCTTGCCCTTGAGAATGGCCAATGTGACTAAGTTCCTTCCATTGGAAATGTGTTACCACTGCAAACCTCGCCAGGGAAGCCTCTCAAGCCCACTCTCCTGTGCCCTTTTTTCCTGCTTTTGAACTGAAGTGAAAAGGGTGACCTTGGTGCTATGGGCTGACAATGGCACACTCTAAGGCAGCCTGCGTTCCTGAATGGCAACATGAAGCAGAGTACCCACCACTCCTTCTGGTGTAATTGCCTTGGAATGTTCCAAGAGAAAGAAATTTTGTCATGTTCAAGTGTTCACGGCATGGATCTATTTATTATGTAGTTGGTTAGCCTACCCTAACCATGAGCCTAGCCATTTAGTTTTTGAGTTTAACACAGATAATGTTCTTGACTTCCCCGTCAAACTTTCTAGCTGTGACTCATTTTATTTCCAGCATTTGTTTTCTCCTGCGTTCTGCTTCCTGCTTTCAGGAAGAAGAGGGCAGGTCACAATGCTTTTGGCAGGGGGCAGGTGTAATGGTGCATGCCTGTAATCCTAGCATTTGGGAGACTGAGGCGAGAGGATTGAAGTGAGTTCAAGGCTAGCCTGAACTGTATAGTAGAACCTTGTCTCAATGAATAAATAAATAAATAAAGATTCTTCTTTTAGGAAGAAACAGTCTTGGAAATAACAAACGACCTCATGAATGGGAAGCCTTAGCTTTGGCCCAGTGATATATTAAAAAAGCGGAATTAATAGGACCTAGGAGAACATTCTTGGGACTAGGATATCATGTGGGCATGCAGCAGATGCTGGTTCCCTACCTAGGCTCCTGATCTCCTGATCAGATACCAGCAACTCACAATGAGCAGACAGTTGGTCTCTTCCAACTTCATGGCATGATATCCACAGGGTGGAGTTCAGAGAAACAGAAGGCATAGCTCTTCCTTAAAAATCTTCACTAGTATAGTAGAACATGCAGAAGTCAAGACATGTAGATGAATTGTGGCTCAAGCACATTTATCCTCATAACCAAATCAGAGTGAAACCAAGGACAAATGCTACTTCACAGTAAAAACAAACAAACACATTCATTTAAAAAAAAAAACCCTACTTACACAACAGAAGAAAATGGAGTGATGGGTTGCCGGGAGCTAGAGGTCAAGGGTTGAGAAGTAATATTGATGGACACAGAATTTCAGTTGGGGAAAGTGAAAACATTCTCAAGATGGATGGTTGTAATGTTGGCACAATGTGAGTGTACTTAGCACCACCAACCTATACACTTAAAATGGTTAAAATGGTCCATTTTATGTTACATATATTTTTATCAAAATGAAAAATAAAACTTTAAAAACCTTGCTCATCAGCAAGAAGCTAACAAGCACATAACAATATAGACTAATCTCAAAACTATTACATTGAGATAAAGAAGATGGCACAATTACGATAGCTAGTAGCCACAAATGGCTGTCCAAATTTAAATTAATTAAAATTATATAGAATAAAACATTTCTCCATTTGCACTGATCACATTTAAGGGATGAATAGCCATGTGTGATGAGTGGATACAGTACTGGGCTGTGCAGATATAGAGTATTTCCACTGAAGAAAGTTGTGTGGGATAGCAGTGTTCTAGAACGAATCTACAAGGATGATAAAATCAGAACAGTGATTACCTTAGTGATGTGGTGGACAGGGAAGATAATAAGGAATTTCTTAGTACTAGTGTAGATGAAGCAAAATTGTACCAATGCTCTCTAGTATCTTTAAATGGATCTGAGAATTAAATTGACAGAAGTAAAAGGAGAAAAATATATGAATGTAACTTAAGTTTCATGTGGCATAGGATCTTTCAAGCAAGAATAAAGATCAAGAGAAGTTGCACACTCTAAGCATGCATATATATATATATATATATATACAAAGAGAGAGAGAGACCCTCCCCCCCCCAAAAAAAAAAACCAAATTGTAGAAAACTAACTAAAATGTGTGGTCAATCAAGGGGAAAAATTATACTGAATTCCCTTATCCTTGATTCCTGTTGTCTGGCAATAGAATGTTTCTTCCTTCTGGTAAAGGGAAAACAGCTTTTACATGGATACTTTCTTTCCTGCTTTCAGGAAAAAGAGAGGAGGTCAGACTGCTCTTCTCAAGCATGCTGTTTTTTAAACATCTTCAGCTCAAAATAAGTCTTATGCCAAAATGGCATTTGAAGTGTTACATTCTACCACCCTTCCTTTGCAATACTGTGCATCTCATTTGGGGTGTTGGCTAACATCATGTATGCATTTTTCAAATTTCATTATCCCATATTTTACTGTATTAACTAGTAGACTGGTCATCTCCATCTACCGGTGAATGCCTGAAATTGCACCATTAGAGAATGCTGCTTAATCAGGAGACTCAAATCTTTAAATATAAATCTTTAAAATGTACTTCAAAGATACTGTTAGTCCTTATATATTGATACTCTGAAAAATCCACAAAATTTTCTCCAGGTTCTGAAAGAACAGCGCTGTGAGAGTCATTATGGTTTGTGTTTAGATGTTCCTCCAAAGTCTCATGCAGTCACAAGAGGGCTTTTTCAGAGATGGCTTAATCTAGTGTGTGGTTGATTCACAGTGCAATGCTGGGATTAAGGGTGCTAGGATTAAGAGTCAGTGATTGGTTTGGTTTGGCACCACCCTAATTCCAGTAGCCTGGATATAAGGGACAGAAAGAGGCTTGTATTTTCCCATAATTGCTTTGATACACTCTGCCTGGCATGAACTATTTCTCCTCTGAGATGCTCCTCTGCTATGCCATCCTGCCTTGGAGCCAGCCGATTATGGACTGAAACCTCTACAAACTGTGAGCTCCCTATAACTTTGGGTGATGGATATTTTGGCTCTGCAATGAGAGCAAAGTAACTGAGACAGGAGAGGGAAGAGGCGTTGGACTTTTAGCAATTTTTCCTTGCATGTGGGTCTCAGATGCCATCTACTTTCCCAGAACTGTATGTTTTATCTCTTAACTTAGAAATACAGCTTCGTTGTGTATGCCAAGTTGAGTATCACCATTTAGTGCTCTATGGCAGTAAGAACAAGACTCAGCTAACACAAGGGAAAGAAGCCCCACTTTGAATTTAGACTCAACATATGGGCTGAGACTGGCTAAGAGCAACTTACATGTCTCTATACTGTATTATCAAAGTTTTCCCTGTGCCCAAATGTGCCCAAATCTTGTAACTAATGAACAGTTCGGACAAGTTAACAGGACACCTCCATGGAGACATGGGAACGTAATTTCTGCTGGGTTACATTATTTCCTAATATTGGAGCTTTTGTATCTAAATCCCTTCTCCCTTTTTATTGTGGCGAAATAGTCAAACTTACTGTCTCAACCATTTAAGAGTGTACAGTCGACTTATATTTGTTGTGCAACAATCACATCATCCATCCTCAAAACTTTTTATCTTGCAAAAACTTTTTTTTGGTAAGTTGAAATGATACAGCTGTTGGAATTACCTGAGAAAATCCTTGAAAGAGCTATTACAATTTTTTTTTTAAATCTGTACCAGGGATCAAACTCACGACTACCTGCTTGCAAGGCAGGCACTTATGTCACTGAGCTAAATCCCTAGCCCCACAAAAATGGTTTTTTAAAAAAAGTTTCAAAAACCTAAGGACAAGCACTGGGGAGGTAGCTCAGTGGTGGAGTGCTTGTTTTGTATGCACAATGTCCTGGGTTTGATACCCACCATCGCAAAAATAAAAATAAAAACGCGAAGAATAATCTTGGTCATTTAGCTAGAAAAAAAATAAAGACACCATCCAGAAACAAGTGGAAAGATAGAAGTACATACAACCTACAAAGAACAAAATGAAAGTGTTAGAAATGAAGAAATCAACAAAAACCTCCTTCTGAGGCCAAGGACATCAGAAATAGAGCAGAAAATCAGCAGGCTCCCAAGCCTGGGTTCTATCCGCACCACCAAAAACAAAAGACATTATAAATGAGCCAGAAACTTGAGCCATTTACTTAACACTAACATAGTACCACATTGGCAATGTCATTATGACAGGGTAACTACTTATTATTGTAAATCATCTCAAAAACACCCTGTCACTAATAGTTGGCCCCTTATATTACTCCCATTTCTAGGCTGCAGAAACTTGAGAAGGGAGATGGAATCACGATGGAAACTCAGCGGAAACCAGGGAGCCGCCAGCAGGACGCGCCCTCCCACATAGCAGCACACCTAGACCTCGCAACTGCTCAACTTCCGGTCCCTCTGTGCCCCAGACGGCGCTTCCGGTACGCGCGCGCCGCCTGGGGGACGCGCACGCGGGGCGGGGCGTGCGGGGGCGCGCGCGTGCGCAGGCGACCGGCGGAGGACTGAAGCAGATCCTTGGAACCGCCGCCAGGTCTGCTCTGTGTCCACGCCGTCTGTCGCACCGCCCGCCCAGCGTCCGCCGTTGCCGCCGCCGTCGCCGCCATGGGAGTGCAGGTGGAGACCATCTCCCCAGGAGACGGTGAGTAGGGCGCCCGTGGCCCTGGGGCCTCGCCGCCGCGCGCCTTTGCTCATCCAGCGGTCTGTCTGTCTCCCCAGGGCGCACCTTCCCGAAGCGTGGCCAGACCTGCGTAGTGCACTACACCGGTGAGTGTGGCGGGCCTGCGGGGTGGGGGGCCTGAGCCGCGGACCCCGCCCGTGTGTGGCCGGTCCCCACAGATGGGGACCCGAGGCGTGCCGGCGATGAGGCCTCGTGGCCCGAGCCCGAGGCCTGGGCGGTGGCCGCTCCCGGAGGGTCAGCCTTAGGCCTGCGTAGCCCGAGGTTACGCGAACCGGCAGGGTTGAGCGGTGGCTATGGCCAGCTGTTATCTTGCAACTCCAAAACAGTCTGTGTCAGAGATGCTGCCATTGTGCCCACTGCGCAGACGAGGAAACTGAGGCTCGGTGACCAAGGGCACACGCTCAAGAACGGGCAGAGCCCTAGCCAGAGACCTTAAAGGAATGTTTATGCTATTTCTACGTCCCGATTGACACTTCTCCAGATTTGGCCCTCTATTCAGTGGAGACAGAGGGACAAGGTAATTCCAAGTCTACCCTTTATCGCTTGGGGGAACTCAAAATTCTTTCTTCAGCAGCAGATCCTCCTGTACTGTTACCTTTCCGCTTACCTTTGAACTTCTTACCCAAGCTTTAGTCATTAATGGTCCAGGCTATCATTTAATCTTCCCCAGCCCTTCTAGTAGTAGAGATTTTTTTCTCATACCCGTTTTGAAGATAAAAAAACTAGAGGCTCAGGGAGGGTACTCGCAGTAATGTAAGTTAACAGATATTTCAGACCCCTCTCTCCCCCAGCAGTTACTCAAGCATCAGTCTTGTATCCCGACAGTTAAATGCCTTGCAAATGGAGTAGATTTTTATGGCCTGTGCCCTGCCTACAGGAGTTTTGTCATCTGTACAGTTGAGCCTTGGGACCATCTTTTATTTCATGCCTTTAGAAGGAACTCCTAGGTTGTATAGGAAGGGGAGGAGGGTCGGAGGGAGCTGTGATTCCATAGCTGTGGGCGTTTGGCTCCTGGACTGGAGCTGTTGGAGTAGCCACAGTTGATATGAATAACTTTCCCTCCCCTTTTCCCTGTTTCCCTTCCCCCTCCTTCCTCTGTTTCTTCTCCTCTTCCTTTTCCTCCCTGGGCAGTTCTGACCAAGCTGCTAATAACTTAAGCCCTTCTCTCCTCCATCATGGGAGAAGATCATTCAAGGGAAATGATTTATATTAGGAAGGCAAAAAAAGGTAACTGACTCTGTCCTGTGCCCTTTATTTCTCTGGCACTTGCTAACTAAGAATGAGGACAGAAGATGGAATGAGTTGAGAATTAAAAACTATAAGATCGCCAACGTAAGAGTATGGAAGTCCATCCTTGTAAGGAAAAGTCTGGTGTCTTAGATGAAACTGCGAAGTGATTTTGACATTTTAAGTAGCTGTGATCATATGGCACCTGAACCTAGAGAGAGTCTAGTGGAAGAAAGTACGTCATTCTGGTCATTTATGATCAACAAATTGAAAAAAGTTACCATTGCCTTTTACTTACAGTGCCAGGCTGTGTAGGCATTTCCTTGAATTCCCACAGCCAGCTAGCACAGACACTAGGACTCCATTGCTGAGGCTGTATCTTCAGCTGTAGCCCCTGCCTCCACCCCCACCCCGACCCCCAGTTTGCCTACATCTGTTCTACTCCCAAGTTTGTGCCCCCAATCCTTGGACATGTTTTGGTACCATTATGGGCTGGACACCATCATGTAGGCAGAAACTCATGTTGTGCCTCTTGGTAAATGTCCCCACACAATATGTCTGGAGCCTTTTCCTAAACCAGCAGATGGTTGTAGGACCCAGAACACCATCAGGGCTCCCAGTGCCTTCTCATGTCTGTGTTTTCCTTGCTGGTGGTACCCACCCACGCATTCTCAGAACAGCAGCAGGACTCTGGCATGCATTGGGATGAAAGCTTTCTTTTTTTTTCAATTTCATTTTGATAAGCCTTACAAAGACGGCTTAGTGAGAAGCCAGCTCTGCTTCATGCTCACAGAATAGGCTGTTCTCTGGCGGGTGGCTTTGTTCCCATGGCTTTGCCACCAGCCTCCCAGGAAGAACCTGTTTCAGACCTGTGGGGTTGTGGGAGGGAGGGAGTAGGAGTATGAGATGTCATCTGTGTGTTTAAGGCTTTTAAGTCACTGAGAACAGAATCCATCTTGAAGGAATGTGATCTGAAAAGAGGATTATAAAGATTCAAGGAGTCCTCGAAGGCAGGATGCCCACTGGGCTCCAAGAAGAGAACAGAAATTCTTGTGAAGGTGTTGCCCCTTCTTTTCATCTTTTGTTTTTTGTAACCCCAAAACAAAACCCCCCCTTTTCTGCTTCAGTAATCCTGTTACAGATTTTTATTTTCTGCTTCTCTTAACTGATGGGAGTTGCTCTGTATGTCTCCCTCTTTACCCCCAACCTCCCACCCAGTGCTAAGTCTCTGTCTCTTGAGTATCTGGCTCAGATTGCTTGATGAAGCCGATTATAGTTCCTGACAGTGAGGATCTCTTTGACCCAAGTTGGGGTCAAGTGAACACTCAATTCAGTCTGCTCTGGCCTGGTGTCAATTACCTCTAATTTGAGGAGGGGTCCAAATAAGGACAGTAAAGGTAAAGTGGTGAAGATACCCTTAAAGTCACTGGAGCATAGCATAGACTGGTTTTTATACCAAGGATGTTTTAAGTATCACTAGTGGCTGCCATTAGTGGCCTTGATGACACTTTCAAGGCCCTCTCTGGTGCTTTCCATGACCTCTTAACAGCAGAGCATGAGCAAGGCCTACACCATCTCTGTGGTGCCAGAGAAAAAGTAAAGACTTAACTGGCAGCAGCTAAGAACTGTGGGAGCATGACAGGCCTTGATTGAGGTGGGAGGGAGGAGGTGGGAAGGTAACCCGCCAATTAAGTGTCTTGCAGATGGAGTAGATTCTTACAGCCTGCTCCCTGCCTACAGGAGCTTCGTCATCTGTACAGTTGAGCTTGCTCTGGCACACAGCTCGGTTCACATCCCTTTTACTCACACCCGCAGACATGTGCTTGCCATTATGAGAGCAACCTCAAGTGGGTTGAAGGAATTCTTTTTTTACCCTCTTGAAAAGTAACTGGACGGCTTGTCTTAGGGATCAGGCTTCAGTGATCACAGATCTGGCCTCCTGTTCATGAGTAACCAAAAGTTGCTCGGCCTTCTCTCTTCAGAGACCATCAGCCTGGCTGCTCTCCTGCACTCCCTTCAAGCCCCTTGCTTTTCTTTAGCCTCTATCCCTACCCTCCCGTGCTTTAAAGTTCATGGACTCGTTTCCTGGCTGTTTCTTGGTGAGCCAGTGATCTTGAAGAAGACTTGCCTCTAGTAGAGATGTTTCAATGATGGTTTCCCCCTGATGTTTGAGGAAGTTTGTGAAGGACCCTTTTTCCTTCCTGCAACAGTAAGCCAAGCCACTAGACATGGCCAGTGAACTAAATACACAAAAGATCTGATCTGGTGGGGTTTAATCCACAGTGCACAGACTCGCATGGCAAGGTGACTTAGCAAGTGAAGAGAGGCACTGTGAAAACTGAAGCAAGGAGGTTGGAAAGGGCTTTTCCCTTTAATAGAGAAGTTGGAGACTTACGGACATCTCAGCATCACTCAGAGGAAGGCAAGAGAGTGGGCATTGTGGCTACGGGGAAAGGGTATTTGGGCTCCCCTGGAGTCCAAGGCTAGGGAAGGTTGTTGTGAAGAGGGAACATGATAGGCTGTGAGAGAGGGAAAGATGCAGTCTAGTAGGTTGTTAGGAGAACATTGCTTTTTCCTGTGATAGGGTAGGAGCCATTAGAAGGTCTTGAGTTGACTTGTGTTTTAATCTTCCTTCTGGCTCCTGTATGGACAGGGGACTGTGGGAAGTGAGGGGGAAAAAGATGACATTGGTTGTATCCCAAGTGTTAGAATATGCTGGCCCAGGCCATGGGCAGAAGTGGTGCCAGATGAACAGTGGTACCCAAGCAGACCTAAGTCTTTTGCTGGATTCCTGTCTTGCCTCTGTTGTGTACCACACTCTTAAGAATTTAAGAAATTTGTCCCACCTTTCTCAGCTTCCTGTAGGATGAGAGTAATGGCACGTGTTTTGAGGAGTGCCTGGGTTAAATTGGGGGTGACAATGAGGTGTTTTTCCACGTACTGTTATTCAGGCCCCCCATGTGTCCCAGGTGTAGAGTGATTTACACACCCTGCCCTTTGTATGTATGCTGGGAAAAAGGCAGAGCCTTGTGTTGACAGTAAAGCTTCCTGGATGGCCCGGACTTGCTGCAGCTTAAGATATGTGCAGTTGGTGGGGACTACAACCTCATCCTTTTCCTGATTCACCAATGAGGAAATAGGTACCTCAGAAAGGGAGGTGGAGCTCACTAATGATTCATCTGAAAACATTGTCCTAGGATGTTTGGTTCAAGAGAACTGAAGCTGTTCTTTTATGTTTGAGAGCCAAGGGAAGTTTATTAGTTTGGGTTGTGGCCAGCAGTGTATGAGAAGGTTCAGGGTAGGCCTGTACAGCGTGGCTGTGAGAGCAAGCGTGGTGCATCAGTCTTGTTTCTCCTAGATGTTAACATTGTGAAACTCAGCCTTGCTATAGAAACATGACTTTGCTTTGGGATTGTGCCCACTAAGATACAGAATCACATAGGTGCTGTCCTCCTTCTCTTGCATAGATAGTAGTAGAAGAAGGCTCTCTTAAATTAACCGAAGACTTCATAACATTCTTACATGTATATGCACCTCTTTATGGGGAAGTTGTCAGAGAAAGAAGAATGAAGATAGAACAATAGCCATATACTATCACCTAGATTCCACAGTGGTTGATATTTTGACATACAGTTTGACATGCAGTTTTCTTCTACTTGTAGAATATATGCATTTCATAATCTGTGTTTTTTTGCTGAATTATTTTACATTGCAAACCTAACATTGTACTTGTGAAGACTAGTGGATAGCCTAAGAATGAAGGTATTCTGTCCTCCAATCTGTAACATCTAAGAAAAAATTCAGTACCTAAAACTAAACTCATTGAAACCATCCCAAGTTGTCTTCAGTGTGTTTTTTC